CATACATACATACATACATACATACATACATACATACACATACACATGAACTGCAGGAGATTGTCTTGACCATGTCTACATGCCTAAATGCACTGAGTTGCCGCCATGTGATTGGCTGATTAGAAATTAAGTGTTAACGAGCAGTTGGACAGGTGTACCTAATAAAGTGGCCGGTGAGTGTATATATATATATATACACACGGTATACTGTATATAGTCTTCATGTCTATGCTGAAAACCATGAGGAGTGCAGCTCGTCCGCACGGTGGCAGCACCGCCTCGTATCACGCCGCCGCCTGCTGTAACATTTCAACGAAGAAGAAACGGCGGCGGCGGTGTGGTGGCAAGTAGCGACGAAGAAGAAGAATGAGGAGAATGCTAAACGGAAAATAGAAGGGACGCTTTCTGTTTTAGTGAATCTTAAACCAACGCTGTTACCTCTAAATATATCATTTGAATCTATCTGTAATATATTAGCTAAGCTATGACAGAGCCTCAGTCAGCGCTGTTACTCAGGAGACAGCTAGCAGGTAATTATACCTCCTCCTCTCTACTGGGAACACTGGTGAAACCATCGTGTTGGCGCAAAACTGCTTTCTTAAAGCTTCCTGGTAAACCCTCCTGTGACATATAATCTACGTGTTAATACGAGCAGTGGCAGTGTAAAAACAGGCTTCACGTGGAGCAAATAAACCATTTAGTGTTTAAATATAAATATACTGGCAGACCGCTGTCACAGGTACCAGCGACTTAAGCTAGCAATGCTAGCTTTAGCCGAACTGACTCGATGTGTTTACATGTGTTTCAACCGAAATATCACGCAGTATTTTCCACGTTGACACGTCACGTTTACATGTTATTTTCTTAACAAGCTGTTAGTCACTATATACACCCTTTGTTGTGTTAAAGTGAYACAAATTGATTCATTGTTGTCTTCCTGACCACCCTGAACACAACAACCTGACGACAGCCGGAGGCTAGCGTTAGCTTGGAGATGCTAGGCTAACACGCTAACGTAATCTCGCATTACCTGCTGTTTCAGCAGGGTCAGCTGCGACATAAATTTAGCTGCGCTAATAATAGCCACCTTCCAAAAGCAGCAGCGTTCAGCCCGCGTAGTGTAACTTTTAGTTAGTTTGTTAGCACCAACGTGTTTTACTGTCAGTACAGAACGTGCTGATCTTTTCTAATGCCTGCTTTTACACAAGCTAGTGACTGACATGATTTAAATAGTTTTAGTGTGAGCTCTGACTGTCATTTAGTGCCTGTTTGTTCTCTTTTTGCACTTAAATACTGTGCTAAAGCTGCAAGAAGCTACATGTCCTTTTATAAAGATTAATTTAGTTTGTGTTGAGGTTACAAACAGATCATGGTAATATATTGAAACAAGGACGTTTTGCATTAAAACAATGTTTAGCTTCTAGTAAAGCAGCTGTGCGACAGCTGTGGGACCACACAAATCACATAAAGCTGCCTCACAAACAGGCAGACTGGATACTTTTATTGTTTGAATTGTCTACATGTGTGTAAATCCTTTAAAACATTTAATATAAACTGTAATTTGCTTTAAAATCACATTGTAGAATGTCACAATTTAACACAAAATTGTTGCTTTCTTTACTAAATGTAAATTTACAACTTTGGCGAGGAGGTTAAAGTGTTTGGATTATTAAAGAAAACATGTAGTTATATTATCTAGGGATATGAGTAACAGAGTATTCATATATTATATTATATATGATATTTTTTGTGTTGGAGAGTAGTTTTATTTTTGTGTAGGGATCAGAGTGATAGCAGTGCTGCTGGATGGATATCACTATTATTGGACATAGTTTATTTTCATCACAGCTCAGGTTTTCAGCTGAACTTCTCTTTCTTTACTTTTTCTTGTACTATACCTGTGTGTCACGTAGTCCCTCCTTTCTTTTTTCCCTCTCTAATCATAGACATCAGTGCGTTCTGGGCTTACATCGTGTTAGTAACGAGGGCGGGCAGGTACAGTCGTGAACGAGGAGGGTTGAGAGAAGCTCAGGCATGAAATCTGTCTTTGCACGTCACTGAAAAGGTGCACTCTACGTTCAGTGATGGTGAAAATGGGAGTTTGTTGTCTAAAACGTTGTAGTTGCTCCCACAGTGACTCTACACGCCCTGCGTGCACGTTCAGCAGTGCTGCACGGAAAAGTGTTTCACTTTAAACACTTTACTGGCAGCTGTGATGTCCAGAACACACTCAGGCTATTTAAACCAGTACATGCTGGTATTCTGATAATTCAAATAACAAAAATAAAACCCGGTTTTCGGTATGAACCTGTATACCTCCCAGTTTTAACTAGGGCTGTGTATTGGTAAGAATTTGGCGATACGATACATAACATGACAGAGGGGTCACGATACGATATATCC